GACTGCAAACAGAACAACTGGCTCCCAGGGCGTGAAAAGGGTGCGTGTCAGTTCAAGGTCGGCACAAACATGTTCAGCGCACCATGCCAAAGCATCACAAGCGAAGTCTCTGTCTTGGATGCAATTGTGGCTCGCTGGATTCAAGATCCTCTCTCTCTCAAGGATATGAGCAGCAAAGGCCGGCAATGTGTTTGCCATCTGCCATCATAATTTGCCCCACACCCCCGCCAAACGCACAAGCTAAGACTTTCAGAAGGCTCACATTGAATCTGTAATATTGGATCGTCGACAGGAAACCCCGCTTTGCCAACCCAAAACCTGCGTTTTGACCTCCAGTGTTGAAACAACTGGGTCCCCTCAACGATTGCCTGGCCACCTGACGGAAACCTGTGAAACCCAAGAGTTGCGGGTCGCGGACAAGTTCCGTGCCGTGTTTGCCTGTCACTTGGCTGCTTTATTCAGCTTCCCCTCCAGGGCTGGTTTGCGTGCACCATAATCGATTCCCAACCCCCAAGCCCAGAACTTGCGGCCCAGAATTGGTGGATTGAGGTTCCCTTAATAGGGGGGGGGAGATGTCTTGAGGGGAAATATGGGCGACCCTGTCTTTCTGAAACATCCTAAACTCGGTCATCCAGGCCATCTGCCAGGCAGAAGCTTCCATTCCTTTTGAGCAAGGAAGCCCATGTCCCAAACTGTAAAGCCTGCAAAATGACAGCGTTCAATCAAAACACAAGCGTATCCAAACGCCGTGACTTGGTACTTGCGTTGAACAGTGTGTTTAAAGTTGCAGTGTCAAAACTAGTTCACCCCCTGTGGGGACAAATGTCCACCGCCCATGTTCGAGGATGTTCCCACTTGACATAGGAGATGAAAGTCTGCCACCCGCTTTGATGAATCTGCAAGTTCTACGTATGTCCAAAACCTGCAATAAGATATCCCCAAGCAAAGGCCTTATATCAAAAACTCACTCATAAATAGGCGAATGGATGACAACTCCAGTTGCTCCGGGGCATCGGGCGCTCGTAGTGCTTGCTCAAGGCCCGGAAATCCAATGGCACCTCCGGTGGATTTCCGAAAAGGGCAACCAGCACCGTGGATGACATGGATTTTGGTTGGATTTTTCAGCGCCAATTTTGTTTTTTGGGAAACTGGGGGAGCTCCTCCCAGTCAAGAAGGATTTGAAAGGGAAAGGGAAACGTCCTGTGACATCTGATTCATGGGCTTTGAAAGGGACCCCTCCAAAGGGAAAACCGGACCAGAGGCCTGGGGAACAAAGGGCTCGGTCCCAAATCCTTGGGGTGAGTTAGCTTGGCACACCCACAATGCTTCCGAGTACAGGCAACCATGGACAGCCATCATGGAGACAAGAAACCCGGGTGGTAGCTGGATTCAAATCCACACCTAACCTCCTACCAGTTGTCTTCCAAGGCATGACAAACACCACCCTACCGACGCGTTCACTTCACGATGCTTCCGCGCCGTCCAAGAAGGAAGCTCCCCCACAGGAAAAGGTCTCTGCGACGCTTCAAATCGTTCTTCGTTTGAACCTATGAATATCCGACAACATCAGCAGAAACCGTAGGGGACTACCCAAACCAATCCCCTGGTCATGTTGTCCATTGCTCCTCCCCAATCTCAACCACACCCAGGCCTTGATATCCACACGAAGGACGTTCACGTTGCCGTCAATGTCCGGCAGTGCGTCAACGCCTGAGCAAGCAGGCATTTGCTGAAGCGGTCTGGTGTGTGTTGCAAAAAGAAATTGAAAAGAAAACAGAAAAGCATCCCTCACATCGCATCCCTCTGCCACCCAGCCGCAGCATCACACCCAGCATCCCCGACATCCCCTGCATCCCCCTGCATCCGTGCATCCCCTGCATCCCCTGCATCCCCTGCATCCTTGCAGCGCCTGCAGCCCCTTCAACACGTTACATCCCCTACACCCTGCATCCCCTGCATCCCCTGCATCCCCTGCATCCCCAACATTCCCTACATCCCTAGTTACATCCCCCACGTCCCCTAGTTGCATCCCCTACATCCCCTACATCGATTCCCTACATCCCCTGCATCCCCCACATCCCCTATATTCCCTACATCGACGCCCCCCACATACATCTCCAATGTATCCCGTACATCTCCTGCATCCTGCATCTGCACCTCCCATATGCTGCATCTTGCATCCGAATGTCTTGTGCGCCTTGTGTTTTTGATCTTTGTATTGTAGTTTGTGAGTGGTTGTATGTTGTTGTGTTTCTTTGTGTTTCTTTGTATGTCTTGTGTGTGGCATGTTTTTTGTTGTTTTTTTTAGCTTGTATGTTTCGTTGTCTTCTCTTCCCTGTACATCATTCACCACCAAGCACAATCTACACCTACACCAACCGGCAACCACCCCTGCTCCCTTGCATCACCAGCATCACCTGCATTGCCAGCTGGTTGCTGGCGGCAAACTCATTTTCCAGACGCATCACCTAGACCCCAATCCAAGACTCCGCTCTTGCCTATAAAGACCCAACGCTTCAGCTCTCGACAAAACAAATAATTGAATCGATCGTCTTAAGAAAATGAGTGAGTCCCCTGGATTTGTGGGGAAAGCTGGAGCTCGTCCCCTGATGTCCCTCCCAATTGACCATAGACTATGGATCTCACATGGGTTTGTATCAAAATAAAGGGGCCCCAAAACTGGCTTCGGTTTTACTACCCATCCGTAGGATTGAAGGGCACCAGCTTGCAGGGAAGCAACAGCATCTGGCTGGTGCATGGAAACCTCCCACTTGCTTTGCTCGGTTGGTGTTTGTTTTGTGGTGCCATAGATAACCAATTCGCGATCCATCCCCAACCAGCCATACCCACATCCCCGAAGCCCCAAAACCTCACCCCCAGTCTCGTTTTGGGCCCAGGCGGAGGTCTAAGGACCTCCAAGCCACCACCCGCCGCAGCACGGCCACGGTGTGGGGCCTACAGTCGCTACACGTGAAAGGTCCGAGGCGGAAACCAGCCTTTTCAAAGTGCCGTTTTCCGTGCTTGGTAGTTCCTGGAAAGGTTCAGATTGGGAAGTGAACCCTGGAAGTGGAGTCCATCCATTCTCGACCAAGCCCACCTCAAAGGGCACGGCGCTTACAAATCGCCAGCACATGGAACGCGCAGAAACGAGGTGCCCTTTGGTGGCCTGCGAGACCTTCCAGTTACTGGAGCCGCCAAGTTTGCACCCAGCACTGGACATTCATGCAACCTTCTTTTAGGTTGTTGTGATTTTAGGCTTGGAGTCTGCAAAATCGTCTCCCCTCCAACCCTGCGCGACAAAAGCCCTGCGCACGATCCAAGCCCCCCGCACAAGCTGCGTCGCCTGGGCGAGTCGGTCGGGTGTCCTTCTTCGATCACGGAGACCCAGCAGAAAGTCAGATCACATCGCCGAGCGGGGGAAGAATGTTAACTGTCGCGAAACGAAGGCTTAGGGTCGAACTTGAGCCTGCAGCAGGAGACGTCACTTTCGAGCAACAATGTACACCAGCACAGCTACATAAAGAACTCTCTCGGGGCTGCAGTGGTGCACAAAGTCGGAGCAAACAAACAAAATGGAACAGGGGTATCTCCAAGAAAAGAATCGCTCGTAGGCGAGCTTGCACAAAAAGGGTCGGCACGATAGAACGAAACAAATTCCTATGATCGGGTGAGCCAAGTTATATCTACCCATCCAAGGCAACGCCTCCAAGGCAACGCCTCCAAGGGGAACTGCTTCAGGAAGCTGAATGTGTGATGTGCGAATCCCCTTGTTTTGCCCCAATACACAGGTTCTTTTCCCACATCATCCCGCAAAATAGGTGATTCCCCCACCCCCACCCCCCCACCTCCAAGGTATCGCAAAACTCGATCAGAGTAGTGAAGCCCTTGATGCAAGATTAGTTCATGATCGCGCGACAGTGGCCGCTTGGGGGCGAGGGAGTGAGATCCACATCGGACAGTAGACTGCGGACACCACACATACATCAAAGCAAATCAAATGGCTTCACAAAACAGACAAACCTAGACAAACAAAAATATGTTTTAAAAAGAAAAATGCAAAACAATCGATGCAAAACAAAATAAGAAACGGAGCAATGAAACAAAGCAACAAAGCAAACAAGCCAGCTGCCGAACCCACTGCACTTATCGCCTTTCCGCCTGCCCAACATTGCAGCCAGAGCAGGGGCCCCGGCCACGACCCTCACACGGCGGCTACCGTCGGGCGCAGGCTTGGGCCTGAGCATCCGACCCTTGCTGGGGAACACTTGCACAGCCCGACGCGGCAGCGCAGCTTGGCTTTGGATGGTGAAATGCACCGCCCCCCGCGCGGAGGGCGGAGGCGAAGAGACGATTTTTAGCAGGCTTACAAAACCATGCTGTCCCAGACAAGAAACACTGTGGATGAGACGGGCTGTTCACCACAAAACACGAAGGGTTGCCTTTGAATGGGGCACGTCCCACACATTCTGGATTCCAATGGAAAGGGGCGCGGTTCGGGCATGAGGTTTTTTTCCTTGATTTTCGGGGCGAACAGATTCTCTATATTTCCCGAAAGTCATAAGCCACACAAAAAGCGGAATGTGGTTCTTGCGGGAAGCGGATCTTCTTAGTCCGGCACTGGGCTGAGTTCCTACGGCCTTCGCAAACTGGTTTTGGAGCCACGCAAAAACGTTTGTAGTTCGCAAGCCTTCAGCTTCGGCCAGCCCCGCATGGCCGCATGAACGGTTGTAGGCTAACCAAGATGAAACATGTGTGCCTTCCCAAACCCTCCCAAAGTCGGCAGCCACTCTAGGCCCAAGCCCAACCTTACATGACGGCCGAGCCGGGCATAAACGGTTGACTCGCCTACCGGCTGCTTTGCGGCCAGCTTAAGCCCAGTCCTCCTCATTCCAGCCACTTGTTGGCCAACCCCCCGCTGCTCAAGTTCAAGTTCCTGGCAATCACTTTGCGCTGCAGCCCACCAAGCTGCTCAGCCATTCTTTTCCTCGCGTTTACAAAAAAAGAACTGGGTGGGCTAGGAGAGTGTTGTGGGAGTAGGCATGGTTGGCGCTGCCACCTCATTCATTCTTTGCGGTGGACACAAGAAACGCTGCACTGCCTCAAGGTGAGACTCACGTAACAGGTATCAGGGTGCGAGCTCCGCACCTCCCAGCGACATGTGGTAGTGCAGGATGTGTGTCAATTGCACAGTTGCCTTGGTGCACCTTACCAAGATCTAATGTTAAGTTGGGAGCGCGAGCGCCATGAGACTGGTCTCATTCTGGTGGTGATTCGTCCGTCAACAGAGGCCGTATTCTGAGCTTCTCAGGTTGTTGAATGGTATGACTACGACTGTTCGAGCTTTTTTGCTGTCGCAGTGCTTCATTGGGATGTTTTTTTGTCTGCGAATGACCTCTTTTCCCTGTTGAGAACAGGCAAAGCTGCGCAGCCGGGTGGGTTTAAGCAAACAGGTCAAGGGACCGGGCGGGCCTCAGGCTTCAAGGCGGGCCCGAGGCGGACCGGGGTGCCGAGGCCGGCGAGATTTCGGGCTCTACCATGCACATCCAGGCAACTCACTGACAGCACCTGCAACGCCGCTGTGCCAGCACCCCAAACTGATGCCCCTAGGACCCAGCCGCCAATCTCGCGAAAATGCGCCCACACCGTCACCAGCACCTCCAGCACCTGCACCAACGCTCAAAAACACCACCTGCACAGCACGCCAAACTGCGTGCCCCCTAGCACACGGCGTCAATCTCGCAAATCGCGCTCCTCTCTTCATTAGAAGTTAGAACCCCTATACTTTCAGCTATCTGCGCAAAAAAGAAAGCCGGCCTTTGCAGCCCCTCAATGAAAATGGGCACAACCAAACAGTCATGTCAAGAACAGTGAAGAACATCCCTGAAGGTCAAATCTAGGGGTTGTTTGGATGTCGCTCCTGAGTGCTACAAGAGTGCTAAACGAAACGTGACAATAGGCACAATTCACACGTGGATTCGGCATTAGATTGTCGTCTAGAGTCAACTTTGCTTGACTCGCGCGTACTGAAATGACAACGCACACGAACAAGGCCAACAACGGAAAAAAAGATAGCAAGACCCCAGATAGCAAGAACTGTATTAGGATGTCAGAACGGTAAGCAACAAGAAGCCAGAAATTCCTGGCAACAAAAACTGAAACCAGATTGGAAGCTGGGGTAAGCTTCGAAGCGATTCGCTGACTGGCGATTGGAAACCTCCATTGTGCTCGTCTCGTATTTAAGTGTGAAAGTGGTCATCCATTTCCTGTTTGCAAACGCGATCCGTCCCTTGCAAGCCCAGCCAGGGCCAAAACCAATGCGCTTGCCTTTCGGAAAAGGCCAGGTCTGACTTGCAGAAACCGTCAGAAACCGTCAGAACCGCCTCATTCGCCTCACAAACCAATTCTCAGAAACCCACGCCCAGACACTCAGAACACTCGGCCCGCACTCGGCCCCCGGCGCGAAATACGCCGACGTGGACTTCCGGGACCTGCGCTTCCGCTCGCCCTCGTTCTTAGCCTTCGGCTGGTCAAAGGCCACCAACCTCGGCGGGCCGGTTTTGGTGGGGTGTTGCTTGGTAAATCAAGACCAAAACGGGTATCCACAAAAATAACAGGCCCACATCCCTGAAAAACAAAAATGGAATCCCGCGACAGGGGCCAAAGCAAACTTCCACTGCTCTGGTCCAGGCAGGCTCGCCCTTTTGACAACCTTTCTCGCGGAATCAAGTTGGCCGCCAAAAAAAACAAGTGTAGAAGCTCCTCCAAAAAGCAAACTTCCAGTTGCTTCAGTCAGGAAAACAGAACATTTACCAGTCAGAAGTTGCTACTAAATCTCTCCAAAGCATCAAAGAAGCTCCAAGGTCCCTTGCACATCCCTTGTAAACGGCCCCTGAACCATCCCTTGTCTGGCACAACGAAAAAGCCACCCTCCTTTCCAAGCTCGTCGTTCACCCCCAACCAGAAAACCTTCCGAGACCTTCTCTCTTCCCCAGCACCCGGATCACATCCGGAGCCCGGGCAGCACCATCTCCAGCGCCTGCGGCACCACAAGCATCAGCGCCATGACCTCGCCGCTCGGCCAGGTGGCTCTCGGGGCTCCCGAGCTATGGGGAGGTAACTGTTGAGGATTGGACCCACTGTCCTTTTGGTATCCGTTAAACACAAAAAAAGCACCCTCAAGCAAGACAGACCCATATGATACATGAGCCATGAACCCTATAAGTTAGGCTTGTAGAAGCATGCCAGAATGCCTTTTTTGGGTGCCGAAACGGTGCTGTTCACTTAGAACGTTTAGCCAAAACCGCAGGAGGTTGCCTCTGGGTTCCGAGTTGTTCAAGGGGCCCAGAGAGAGTACTCGGGACGTCTAATCACTAAGTAACCTCTGGGTTGAACTGGAGTTGGCGCAAATGGCAACACGTGTCATAAACCGGGTTTTGGGACAACACGCCAAGGGATCGCTGGGGTTTCTCTGTCCCCCCCTCAACAAAAACAAAAAACAGAGCATGGCTTCAGGGTAGCTCCAAGAGGCAAGGGACGAGGTCTCTTCGGCGGGTTTCGGAAGACACCCCGCCTCCGGCAGCACCTCCACACCGCAGCCCGTGGCGCAGTCCACCAGGAAATCCTCCACGGGAAGTCGAGTCTCCCTTTGGCTGGCCATAAGCCAAAGCAAAAAGGGGCACCCTCCCAAACACAAAAATGGCAAACGCAGAACCTGCACGGGAACCAGACCCCTCAGTCAGGGCCATGTCATATAATGGACAGGAGGGTACCCATCAACCAAAACATCAACCAAAAGCCCATGGCTTGCTTGAGCGTCCAACCAACGAAAATGATCTGAGTTTCACCTTTGACCTCGTAAGAACTCACCTTGAAAAGGACACAATCAAAAGACGAACCCGCGCATTTCCCCCAAAGGGTTTGGACCTGGGAAACGGAGTCGTGGTTTGTGTGGCTCGGGTGGCTGTTTGGGTTCCCCTTAGGCAGGAAACTGCCTAGAGCGGATACCCACAAATCACTTGGTCGAAGTCCAAAACAAAAAGCTTGCAAAACCCAGCCCAGGTCATTGCGATTACATCCAAGGTAGACGTGAACGCCAAAAGTTGAACCCACGGACTGAAAACACGTCTGGGCCCCTCGAAGGTATGGGATTTTTGTTTTGCCAGAGAAACCAAAAGGAAAGCCGATTCCCATTTGTAGGGTCTCCCGAGTTTGACACATACCCACGTGGACGAGAGGGTATGTCCTTCCTTAACAAGCCCCCACTGAACCCCAGCGACATCAAAACGCCAGTCATGGCAGTGGAATACCACTCCACGTTTGTTGGCCTCATGTGTAGTCACCTGAATGGGCGTGCCCGTTCACCATGGTTCTTTCAGCTATCTTGGCTAAGGCGGCCGTGCAAAGCAAAGAGTACGGCGGCCCCAGGCGGGTTCTCCCATTCTTCGCACGGATCCTTCTTTTGAGAAAATTGTCCAAGACCCCCAGAAGTTGTTTCTCCAAAGAACGATGAGTGAAAAGAATGGAATCTTCATACACCCAAGGATCCGAAACGTGGCTCAGGGAATCAAGTCCCTGTCGAGTCAACATGTCACTAATTCTCTGGCAGCTCTCATTGATGGCTTGCAATAGAATGTTGCAACGGATCAAAGAGAGAAATACCATTGAACAAGAGGAGATTTGTTCGGTTCCCTTCACGTTTCCCCCTCACGGCTTCCAACAGCCTTCTTGCGACCGCCCATCTTCCCATCTTGCCGGCAAATCCCCCCCTTCCCCCCCCCCCCGTTACCCGGGATCGATCCAGCACGCTGGGCTCGTCGTTGAGGTTCAGTATCCGCAGCCAGGCCTCGTTTCGCGTCCGCGTCGCTCTGATGGTCAGCACGAAGCGAGAGACAACTTACCAACGCCAAGCTGCGGTTGTTATTTCCCAGCCACTTTACCACAAACCGTCACTGTTGCTGGGGAAAAGCCAGGTACTGTTGAATGTTGGAATGTTTGCGTTACCACAGCCAACATCCCTTTTGTCCCCAACTAACATGAGATATTGGTGAGCAGCTGCTGTTGATATCTGTAAGTATCACAATAATTCCAAAACCGGAAATAGTGGTGAGCGCGTCTTACAGTCAGGTGATCTCGCCCTAAGATAGGCGCGCCAGAAAGCATCTCGCTCCATGGTTTTGACATGATCTGATTGTGCCAAGCTTTTCTTGCAAAGAATGCCAAGAAGGGACCACCAGAATTGAGCCGTGTCCACACAACAAACAACTCAGAATGTCAAATCGTGGCCAACTCGCCCTTGCCTCACTTCCGAGCCACTCGTGGTTCGGCCAAAAGGTGTTGTTTACCACATCATTGTCCAAGCCCAAAAGTGACTTTAGTTCCAAAACAAAGAGTGAGGTGCTGGGGCCAATTACCCCCATTGCTCCTGTTCGCCCATAAAATGTTGGCCCCCCAAGACTAGACCATCTCCTGCCCCTGTGGTTTGGTCATCTTGGACGGAGCAAGCCTCAATGGTGCTCCTACTGACACCATCCTTGGCGCAACTCTGAGGTACACCACAAATATTTCATGGTGAGATTCTGCCTCACATTTCGCCTGCCCTATGTAAAACATGTTGGGAGGAGACCCCAGAATACGTCTTGCAAGGTCTTGCACCCAGAGGACTGGCCCGCCAGACCCAGGTACGGAAACGAGCCTTGGCCGACGTCGGGCAATCGGCATTTGGATAACTGCTTGTTTACCTTCTCACCTTTGTCTACTCGTCAGGTCAGAATGGAACCCATAAAGAAGGTTGAAATCCTGTTCCCGCATCGCCATATGGGAAAACTGGAAAGGTTTCCTCGGGCTATTTGGCCATGCGAAAGAAAGGATGCTTGGAATGGGGTAAGAACAAAAGATATGCGTTGTTCCTTGCCTGAGGATACTCTGCAGAACAACATACCAAGGGAACAGTAAAACTCATATTCGAAGGAATCTCCCTGCAAGGGGATACCCTTTTTGGGAGTTATTGGGTTTCCATTTGGAGAAAAAATACCCAGCAGGGTGGGAATTGCTCTTCTGACAATGGGCCTAGAGAATATTTTCCGGTATCACCGCAGGGGACAAAAATTCCCCCGACCTTGAAACGCATTGCAACTTTCTACTCGCAAAAAAAAAACACTCCAGGGCTATCAGCAGCCAGACTCGATCGCTCTTCTTTTGCACCCGCACCCACTCGCATGTGCATAGAACCCGGCAATCCAGGGATTTCTACAGGTAGGTTGTCCATCCACCAAAATCTCGAAATGTCCCGCGGAATTCCCCTTTTTGCTGGGTTCCTATGTACGAACCTGAGGTCGGCCGTCATTCCTCGAGGCCTTCGGCCCGGCAGAAGGCCACCAGCGCGTCCACTCGCGCGCGGAGGCCCGGCCACGGCTCAGGCGGCCTCCAAGGCTCGGAGGACTCCGGCGGCGGATCCACGGGGTGATCCGCGGGCGACGTGGGCTCCATGGGTTCGACGGGCTCCATGGGCTCTGGCTCCATGGGTTCCATGGCTTCCATGGCTTCCATGGGTTCCATGGGTTCCATCGGGTCCATGGCATCAACATAGGGGTTCCTCACTTGCGGCGCCCGCGTTGGCAAAGGCCTCGCCCTGGCCCGGATGGACGGCGGTTCTGGCGCCGGCGCCGGAGCCGGAGCCGGGGCAGCCTTTCCACTCATCGCCTCATCGTCGGACGACAGCACTTCGACCTGCCCACGTTTTCGCTTGGACGCTTTCTTCGCGACTTCAACCGGCTCACCTTCCGGAAGCTCAGGGTCCGGAAGGATTTCCACAACTTCCGGCGGTGTCTTTGGTGCCTGCTCTGAAGCACCCGAAGCGGCGCTCTGTGGCTCCTTCGGCTCCGTCTCCTTCCCCTTCGGCGCCTTCGGCTCCGTCGCTTCCGCCTTCGGCTCCTTTGCCTCCTTCGGCTCGCTGGGCTCGCTGGGTTTCGGGTCCTTTGAATCTCCCTCGGTCACTTGGGGCTTCCTCTTGAGGCCCTGCTGCACCGTGGCGAGTATGCTCTTCGCAGGGATCCTGGGCAAAAACCGCGGCAAAAGCCTGGAAGGTAGAGCCATGTTCAACCCAGGGAGAAAGGCCCACAGTACATGGAATCTGCAAAAGCTGAACCATTGTCCAAAGGACCAAGGGTGCATTCATGCCAGCTTCATGATTTCGCTGGCATATCAATCCTAAGCTGACCACCACCATAAAGAAGCTAGAAGCAAGGAAAACACACTTGGCATCAGCAACCAAAATTGCAGATCAGGAATATGTTCGTTGGACCTGCATGCTGTGAATCAAACGCTCCTACTCAAAACCCAAGGGTGGTTTGTTGGGGGAAAACCATCCCTGTCAAATCCCTCGCAACCCCCCCAAAAAAAATTTCCCCCCCCCCCCCCCCCATCCCGTGGAGGAGGGGTTATCAACCAAATGAGTATACGTTGTTTTGAGGATACCCTTCTTCAGGGTAGTATTCAGGGAAAAGGAAAACCGAAGCCAGTGTAGGGCTCCGAATCCCTATTCTATTTTGACAGCTGAAACCTTCACCGAGAAGCGTGACGTTGAGGCACGCCTGCGTCTTCTGGGGTGGGACCAAGTACAGGGCCGCGGCAGACGCCGAGGCATTTCCTACGCGCAACACGCCGGCACGGTCCTTGGCGAGGAGGTAGGCCTCGGGGCGGAGGCTCCACAAACGGTTCCTTGAGTATGACTTTGAATTTGCAGCCCTTCAAACAGCGCCCCAGAAGGAAACCCACTTCGAGATGCCCAAAGGCTTGCAGGCTTAAGTGAAAAAGGTCGCTATCATTTGCGAGTCAAAAAGGTCGCTCCTACGATACGATGATCGTGCAGCCACGGCCATTTATCTATGTTTCTTACCTTGGTTTGGTTGGTGGATTTGGATTTAGACATGATGCAGAACGGTCCATTTCAATCAGAAACCAGTATGCAAATCAATGTCACTAGTTTTGGCACGTGAGCCATAGTCAAAACCCGCTTTCCCCAGAATGGGTATGGAATGAATGTGTCCGCATGGCATTTGTGGGAAAGCTGGAGCTTGTGTCCCTCCTTCTCCACCTGCCTCGGTGTCCTCATGATTTTACCAGGGAAACAACCCGTCGCTGACTCTGAAATTGAAAAAGAACCTGTATTCTTTGTGTGGCGTTGCTGACTTTGACAACAAACAGTCAAATGACCCCAGCAAAATAGTGGCAAACTCAATTCGTTTTGCGTCAGGTCTCTGGTCATTCCCCCTTCTCGCCTCCAGGGTGTCGCGGGCCTGGCGGTCCTCGTTGTTCAAGGGGACCAGCTGCAGCCTGGGCTTCAAGCCGGCTCGGCCAACTCCCCAGTGAGGAAAGCACAGAAGAAACAAGGCCGCAAGAACGAACCACTGGGCCTTTCCTCAGTCTAGGCAGTCTTCCCTTGAGTATATAGGTTTTAGCCCGCCAATGCAAAAGGACAAGGCGTTGTCAACTTTTTCCGCTTCAAGTTCTACCAGTCCAAAACCTGAAACAAGAAGTTGATCCCCAAGTAAAGGACCTACACGGTTCTCTCGAATCGTTCGGTTTTCCGATAGCCGGCCGACACCCCAGAGTAGGAAATCGATAAGAGTGTCTGACCGGGATCCCAACGGCTTCCTGCAAGGTCCCTTAAAAGCACAGTGGTATCCTCAAAGAAAGACAGGCCCAAAAAAGCAGCGTTCGAACTTAGAATGGAGGGGCAAGGGTAAGACCAAATGCCATGCCGGAAAAGGTGTTAGTTGGTTTTCCTTCTGGCTCCCTTTGAACCTCATCCAAGAACGCAGTAACAATCGCGCGGTTTCCTGTAGGGGAGCACTGAATGTGCTCCTAGGTCCAAGCCCTTGGGTGGGTTTCTGGAGCAGTGGGAACCCAAGGTGGTTTCGTAGGTCTCCTGGACCTAGGGGAGCCGGGAGTAAAGTCGACACCAGTTGGATCCATATGAAACTCCCCGCCAAAAGTGCCCTGATTCCCCACATTCACCCAGGGACACCCCCTCTCAATCACGGATTTGTCTCCGAGGTTCCTGCCGGCCCCATTTGGGGACATTTTTGGATTGATTCCGGGAGTCCCATTGAGCTTAGACTCCCCTCCCCATGTCCCCATTTTCGCTCCGAGGGGCATGGCCAAGGAGGCGTCTTTCCGGAGGTCCGAGAAAGGCACCCGGTGGCTGAGCTTGAAGCGGCCTGAGCTTCAGCTTGGAAGCCCCGAGGGAAAACCAGTGGCTCGGGTTTTTGGGGCCGAGCCGGGGGGTTTGGAGGTGGGGAAACCTCGGTTAGAAAAGAACACGCCTGCCCGAATCTGTCCATCGGCCGTGTGATTCCCTCTTTTTTGGGGTCATCAAAAAGGGAAACCAACAGGAAGCCTTGCGTGGATTGCTCCGGGTTTGGGCAGCTCCGAAGATTGCCAATCCAAGTTGCTTTTTGCCGGAGGTTTTGTGTTGGAAGAATGAAGACACCCAAGGGCCAACAAGCCACCAACAATAACTGGGTGTGTCCCAAAATCAACGGCCCGGCTAGTTTTGTTTGGCTTTGTTTGTTTTCTGTTGTGGGGGGGGGGGGGGGTGGAGCCCGGAATGAAGCAGAACATGAATTCAAGCCAAGGTACCTCCAGCAGCCTGTACCAAGGCATTCGCAGTGTTGGCATCTCCCTGCAGCAACGTGGCGTAAAGCTTCATCTGCACGGCCCCGTGCTGCAGCGAGAAGAAGCAAGACCACTGCGCGGCTGGCACGGATGGCGCGGATGGCGTGGATGCCATAGGCATGGAGGCCATGGAGGGAATGGGGATCAGCACGATGGGCACCTGCAGCATCTCGTGTGGCCGAACCACATTCAACGGCGGGGGAGGAGGCAGTGGCGGGGTCTTAGGAGGCGCCAGCAAGTGAGCCGGCGGGGGAGCAGTGGGCGGTCGTGGAACCTTGGGCGGAGGAGTTTTGGGCTCTTCTCCATTGACAGGAGGGTTCTGGCTGGGCACCTCTCCAGCAGGGTGACTTCCATTGGGCACCTCTTCTTCTGTAGCGCTGTCGCTCCAGGCATCGAACTCGTTGCCCCCCGCTGTGACCCCGGGAACCCCGTCAGCCGCGGCTCCCCCGCTCGGACTGAAGGCTTGCCCCTCACCATCGTCACTCCAAGCGTCGAACTCTGCAGCCGACCCCGGAACCAGCCGCTCGGGCGATGCATCGCCAGGCATCCTTCCCAGACGTCCCACTAATCACCATGGCTGCGACACAAGCTTAGCAACCTTTTTATCCTAGAAGCCTCACTAAATATTAAGAAAAGCATTTACTTGTGTTGCGCTTCCTCTGAAATGATTCAAGCAGCATGAAGGGGATGGCGGTAGTCCCAAGGACCGTTGCTAACCAGGCTTGATCTCTCAGTTGCCAGTCTAGGCCCCAGACACACCAATTGCTTCCCCAAAAGGTGGTCTGGTTTGTTGAGAGAACTCTGGGGTGTCTTCCCGTCACCACCAGCAGACTACCAATATGTGGGTGTGACTTGAACTTTTCTGACCTTGTGTTGGACATAACATACCTGGTTGGATTTGTACGTATCATGTGGATGAACATATGCGGTCATAACTCTTCGTGCGAGCTATGTTCACGTTTTCATGAGCAAACACCCTCCATGTGCCCCATCGATAAAATCCATGGCTGCTCAATCTAGGCCTCCCTCCTCGAGCTGGAGCGGTGGCTCGCGAGGCCAAGCCGAGCAAATGACACCGGGGGGGGCGGGGGGGCGGGGGGGGAAGCACGCTGACATGCCCATTTTCCACGATTAAACTTGCAGATGTCCATGTCCATACTGGCTTTGGTGGAAAATTGAGAATGGTCATCTCCCTCCCAAATGGACCAGCCCTTTGAATCAACACCTAGTAATGAAGATGTCTACCCAAAAGACCATGGTAAAAGGTCAAAAGGGCAGATGTCAGCACCTTTCTATGTACTCTTGGGACAACAGTCCCCTACTCATTGATTGTGACTTGCGTATTTTTGGCAAGCCCACAGAAGTATGGGCAGGCTGGGAAGTTGATGCTTCGCTTTCCTTACTTTGCTGCGTTGGCAGTCACGGTCAATGCGATACACATGCTTGAATTCGTGATGGGCGGGGCACAGCGTGACATGAGGTTACAGTCTGACATGCAGTTTGTCTCTTTTGAGAGTAGAGTATCCTCTTTTAGGTTTGTTGCAGCGCAAGACCGAAGAGACCCCGTTCATTTTGAGGCTTCCCTCATTGAGGCAACCCCATTTGTGGCCCTTTGCCAGCCTCTTCCGCCTGTAAGCAGCCAGGCAACAGAAGCTGTTGCGTTTGTTGTCTGGCAGCCAAGGTGCTATGCAAACCTAGTTGACCCCAGACAAATCTGTGCGCATTCACATTTTTGGGGCAATGCCAGGGTGCGATAGGGCAAAGCCAGAGCGCTGCGGCAGCGACGTCAAGGGCAATGATGTGGGTCACTCTTTGGCACCCGAATCAGTAAACCCCAGGTTGATGAAGCGGGTCACAGTTTGGAATCTGGACCATGTTGTATGTAGGTTTTGTTTTTGCCTTTTGCCCTTCCTTCCACGAACACAACATGCGAGGGTGCCTGGAAGATCAGCTTCCTGAAGGTAACCCCTATCAGGTGAGCTCGTTTTCTCCCCGCACTGCAGGGTGCCCACATCATTTCACTTCTGCTGCCCCATGATCAGAGATCCGGACCCAATAAAATGGGCTTTCCTTCCATCTGCGTCAACTACCAGGGTTCCCCTCATGTCTGACTTCGATATATGTGTTCAAAACCACCCACCCAAAAGGCCTCACAGATTGCACAATCATCGGGTCAAAATGCTGGAACAAATGTGTCACGTTTGAAATGTTCAGTTAAAGTGAGAAACATTGTTGAAATGAACCGTTTAACAAAACCAAATCGTTTGTGTGCCAAAGAACAGTCTGCCCCTTCTTCGCGAGTGCGCTGCTCTGCTTGGTGAATCGCTTGAGTTCTCAAAATTAAGGACCAGCAGGTGCCATGTGTCCTGTTGGTTTCTCTTTAAAACCATCCCAAAGCGCTTGGACTCTTGTTGAGACAAACTCTTGTTATCTTTCGGTGCACTAAAGTAAGGGACCTCTCAGAAGGCAGCATCCATCGCGGCATGGATGAAGTGGTCTGTTGTGAGCTTCTGGGGCCGCAATTTTTCCAACTGAAGAACAAGACAGCTTCCGAAGGAAGGCGTTCTAACTATGAACCCTTCTGTAAGTGTCTGTTTGTCGACTTCCTGAACTCATGAACCTGTTTCGACGAGATTCTCTTTTAAAGGCAGCAGTACATCTTCCAAGGTCCCCAGCGTCGCCGCTGTGGGCGCCCATCTGCTGCTCCTCTTCCTGGAAGGCCGTATGGCTGCTCCTCGTTTGGGGCTCGGTATCATTTCATTGTTGCAGAAGGCAAGGGGCAAACTGTGCATTTCGTGGCTTTCCCTGCATGGCTTCCCCTTGGAGACCACTTTTGCGGAGACCACGATGTATGATAGCCAGGGAATCAACGCCTCCAAATGGCACCGAATTTGTGGTTTCCCTGAAGCATTGAGGAAGAAGGCAGTTGTATTTTGCTTAACGGCCCGACATCCTTGTTTTTGGTAGGAACCGAAGCCTCTTTGTCTTTTTTTAAGATAAGGAAAAGACTCAACCGCCCAAAAAGAAGCTCCTCCTCCACCCCAGCCCCACCTTCTCCAAGTTTCAAGCAGCTTCTTTCAAGGTATGTTTTGCATGTGGGTGTGACTTTGAAGAGACCCTGCGGACATCCCGAGGATTCATGTACCAACCACTTAGGTGGTTTCATGGCCGTAGTATATCTCAAAATGGTGAAGGGGGGGGGGGTCCTGTCTGGTTTGCCAAAACCAAACGGCTTCCCAAAGCCAAACAGCCCCACCCTCAAAAAAACCATATGGCTGTGAAATTCATAAGGGACCCCTCAAAGTGGTTGGTGAACACAAATCCCAGCATCTCATGATATCTACATATATATTAATATACATAAATATATATATATATATATATACATGTTTATACTTAAATATGTGTGTGTGTGTGTGCGCCTCTTGTTTGGGCTACGTTTGTTGGGATTCTTTGGGGGAAAGCCGAAAAGGAAAACCCTCCATGGATCACCCTGGCCACCTTGCCGCTCGCCACGCCTCCTCCCGCAGATCCAAGGCCTCCGGGCGCTGGTCCAAGCCCCCGGCCTCCACCTGACGCGACGGAGAGGTTGGCTCGCCATAGGGCTCCATGGGCCCATACTTGTGACTCATATCCATGGACCCAGACGTGTTGGACCCAAACATGTCTCCATGGCTCACCAAATTCCCTTTTTGGGGCCCCTCCAAGTTCCCCGTGGTGTTTTTTCCCTTGAAAAGATTGGGACCCATCTATCTGAGAAGGTCTACACTTTGAGAACGGTTGGCAAAACATTGTGCGATTGTACTGTCCATTTCACGGATGGCTACAGTTGATCAATGACCCCTTGGGCGTGGCTCCTCTCTTTGGCTGGAACACTTTTGGAAACTGGAGGAAACCGCCGCATTCCTTGAGGATCCTCCCCCATGTTGCGCCCAAACCCAGATGTTCCCACTCCAAACACCAGCCTTCACCACAACCTCCTAACCCGCACCTTCCGTGCTGCTCCTGATATCCCAATGCACTGGACCCAGAGACCCAGACCCCTCCGGCCTGGAAGCGCCCGGGCGGCTTCCTGCGAAGCCAAAACCTGGCAAAGGCCGCTACAAAGGAGAGACCTGAGATCCAAGCACCCAGGATCGCTTCCGAAGCGTTTTGCAAGGGAAACACTTCCATAAGAACCAACCGCCTGCTTTACAAGGATTTGGATCCTCTCAATCAGCTGTCTTTTGAATGGCCCACGTGGGGAAGACTCTATTGGACCAAAACTGGGATCAGTGTGCATGGCTCTCAACTCTCTCGACCAGCAAGGTTTCAGGGCCCTGCCAGATTCCTGGACAAACATACGAATGCCCTCCCAACAATCCTGAAAGCTGACGATCGGAACACTACTTGCCTTTGGGAAGCCCCCAGACCCCCCACTTCCACGGTCGTTGGAGCGGTAGATTCCCTTAGCCAACATCGGTCCGATCCGCCTGGTCATCGTCGCGCCCTCCTCCGGCCGCCCGAAGAGCATCTCCCCGGCCTCGGATCGGAATTCGGCTCGCTGAGGCCCACGTGGAAACGGAGGAGGAAGACGCCTGGCTATGGGTCAGAACCCCAGTTCCCCCCCAGTGAACATCCCAATCCCCACTAAAATAGACTAAAATGGGTGGTGCACCTACCCCCAAATGGTACCATTGGTGTTGACCCTGGCGGATAGCAAGGCCTTTGAACACTGAGATAGACCACCTATCAACTGGTGCGCACCTTTTATTTATTTCTTCCATGGGCTTCACAATATGGGGCGCTTCATCCACATTGTGGCGAATAAAGCATGTCATGAACTAATAGTGTGTTCATTATTGGCCGTTACACACCCAGACAAATAGTCGTCGCACATGGGTAAAAACGATTCACTATGTTTGGCTACACATATGTCAGAATCATTAAGGCTTTACGTGCCCGTACTGACAGGTGTAGCAACCAGCATGGCAACATTCTACAGTGGGCTCTCTTAGGTCCGGTCACGAATACCCTTCTGTTTCTTCTCATTCTACCCTTTAGATACTTAAATCTTGGTCCGTGCTTCGCAAAAGGCGTGCCGGACCCAATGACACACGTCTTGTCTAGAGGGAAATCCTGCGGAAGTTGGGAACTGAAAGTGAGCGCCGCCCAAGGAGAAAGAAGCCTTTAACGACCCGGACCAAGCCTGTTCTCGAGGGATTGTTTTAAGGGGAAACCATTGCCATCATCAAAACCTGGCCCCAAAGAAATCACCCCCAAAACCCGCAGAATGAAGGGAGAAAGGGCAACCTCAAAATCGGTGAGCCCTTTGGTTGTCCTTCAAACGAACCCCGAAACGGGTATCCTCCAAGAAGAACCATACCTGTATGGGTGATTCTCGAAATGGGGTTCCCAAATGGTTAGTATCCTTTTGGCTTCCCTTTTAACACCACCCAAACGTGGTAAAAAGACAACCCCAGACGGCTTCTATTTCCGGCTCCTTTTCGCTCAGACCCGGGCGCAAAAAGCCACCTTGTCCCGGTTCGAAAGCACCAGGTCAAAGAGTTCCGCGTGCTGGCGGGATCCGAAAGAAAGATGGGCTGCGCGTGTCTTTTCAATTGGAACTCCCCTTATTTGGTAGGTTGTTGAAAGGAAAACCAACCATGTTGTGCTGGGAACGCCCTTTTGGTTGGTTTGCTGAAGGGGAAAACCACAAGAAAAACCAACCATTGTTGTTGGAGAAAGCAAAATGGGGTCGGCGTAGGTTGGATCCGCCATTTTGGGGTGTGTTCGTTTTACCCGTGTTTGGTCGCTGTTTAAGTCAAAGCGAAACTTGCTTTCGGGGGTCCTCTGATTTTGACAAAGCCGGGTGGCACAGACAACACTTAAAGCTGCGTTGCCCTGGTTGCTCAAGGAGACAATGGGGGAAACAAATCAGAAAACCAACCAGCAAAACAACCCACCAAACCAAACCAACCTCTCGGCCAACAACCACACCCAACTCAACCCAACCGGCACCATTCACAAAACTGCCCCAAGCCCAAAAACCGAGCGACCGAAGCCGGCGGAGGCCTCCTGAAGGTGCCTGCGGCTAGAAGGCAAGCGGAGACCAGGGGGTTGGAGCTGTGGCCCAAGCTAGCCGCTCACTTCACTAAACACGGCTGCCAGGATCCACTGCGATAGGCGGTTCCTGGAAATACAGTGACCACAAGCCTAACATGGCACCTGATAGAGAAATGGTCCAGGTACAGCTGCTATGCTAGTGAGCTGTAGGGCCCTGACTCCACTTCGGAGGCTTTTGTTGGTCCAGTGACTCCCGACTCGGTTGGATGAGAGCCATTGGA